GGGGGGGTCTGGCTTTTTTGAGGAGCTGTTGAGTAGCTTTCATTCATGTGAGTGTGAGTAGTTACTTTGGAAACCCCAACTTGTTGTGGAGTTGCATGTTATTGAATTAATTGTGTCTCTGGCAGGACTTGGCTGTCATGAATGATCACCGAGCTCGAACATGTGCATGATTCTCAAGATCTCCATTTTAGCTTCAAACTTTGTCTCTGATGACATTCGTCTCATGGCAGGCAGAAAGCTAAGAAGAAATAATTTATCCTCATCAATTTCTTCAGTCTTGTGGACTCTTTCCCTTAAAATGTCCAACAGTTTTTGTTCACATGAAGTGCCAGAGTCAGAGGAGTAACGTTTCCTCTTCTTTGAAGTTTTCGGAGCCGTGTTGCAATCACATGCAGCGGATGTGATGGGTGCGAGCGGCTCTTTGGCCACGTCCCCTGGTAACTCGGTCGTCTCCGTCGGTTCAGCGATTTCGTCTTTGTCTTCGTCGGGCTGACCATTGCTCACTGTTGTTTCTCTCTGTTCTAGTGTAGGCAACAGAAAGAGAAGCCGGTCGTAGTAGATGTATTTCCTTCTCCTCTTTGCGGCTGGTCCGGGCAAGGTTTTCTTCTGTTCCCGTAATTCCCTCTGAAAACAGTGTCTCAGATTGGTCCACCGTTGCTGAACCTCTTTGCCTAAAATAGGAAAGGCAAATATCGATATTATTAGCCTTATAACATACACATATTATTATGACAAGCTTGAAAGAATAACATAACTGCTCATACGTGAATTTCAGTTCGTAAGTATACATGTATTATGCTCACCATTTCATTTCATATACTTGGCAACTGGATGTACCATGGTGTCATTATGGCTTTGAAACAATTCGTGGAATTGTTCAGGACGTTTGTGAAAAACTGTGAACATGTTTAAAGCCAATTGTAATATCAAATTTGACCATACTGTAAAACACGGTTCCCTAAATGCATCGGTGCCATTGACGGGAAACACCTCAGAATGTGTCAACGAGCTCAGAGCGGATCTGTATCTAACAAGTACAAGAGCGTTTTTTCAGTTGTTCTTTTAGGGATTGTGGATGCCAACTATTGTTTCATATCAGTTGACACTGGGTCGTATGGCAGCTGTAGTGATTCCACAGCCTTCAAACACTCAACATTTGGCCAAATGCTAGAACTAGAACATGGGGAACTAAATTTGCCTCCAAAGTGGCATTACAAGGTGATGATGGTGGTACATACAACTATGCCATTCTTGCTAGTTGATGACGAGGCGTTTGCTCTCTCTGACCGTTCGTTGCGCACATACCCTAGGAGGGAACTGACGCAGACATAGAAAATGTTTAACTACAAAACTAACCTGCGTATGACAGAGTGTGCTTTTGGAATTCTGGCAAATAAATGGATGATTTTGCATCGCCCCCTGAATGTGAACCCCGATTTCTGTGACAGCATTACATGTACATTTGTATCAAAACATGTTGTGTTTTTCATAATTATGTGCGACAGATGTATGTAATCGCATATGATGAATTCATGAATGCCCTATACAAAGTCTTAGTCCAAGCAATGTTCGCACACATACGTCAGCAAATATCAAACAGAGATTACTTTGCCGACGATTTTATTTCTCAACAAAGGCCTGTACCTTGGCAGTATGACAAGATCTAAAGAGCTTCGTTTGCTTAATGGATTGGATCATTTCAAAGAGCTCGTTACTGTTGGTTTCAATGTTATGGTTATGGACGAGCTAATCACAAAGTTAAACCAGCCCGGACACATGTGTTGATTTGTTGTTTCAAAGTGTTGCCAAATTTTTTTTCTCACTTGACTAACTAGCCTATTCTTCATGTGTGATAAAGTACGAGTTTCATTGCGGGATACTTTTTTAAATGTGTGTGAAAGCTTAATCATAGCTATAGTAAGATGAGCAATTAATTGATCAAAGGCTATTGTTAGGGGACCGTACGCCCCCATAGGGTTTGGCGCTAGGGGACCGTACGCCCTTCCTGCGCTAAGGTTTGGTGTTACGGGACTCTCTTTCTTTCTCTCCTTCCCTCTCTTTGATTCTTGTATTGACACATAACAACAACGTGGGTGCAGACGTGAGCAAATTTCAAATTTTGGTTCACCCACGGCCACTGGATACCTCACAATCGTATTTAGATATTTTAAACATTCTCCTTGTAATAACTCCTTACGTCAGGAGCTTCGTTAAACTTGCCGTTTCCCTCCAGTATTTTTGCATAGTCCAGATGCATGCACATCTGCGTACGGTCCCGTCGTAACACCAAGCCTCAACCAGGGTTGGTGATTTTTTTGATTTTTTTCATAAAAATCGAAAAAATCGATTTTTTAAAATTTAAATCATGATTTTTTTTATTTAA